CTCTTACTCTGAAACCTGTTCAGCATCATAGCAACCTCCACTGACAGACAGGTGGTGGCTACACATGAGGTGCACTGGCCGGAAATCAAAGCCAGGTCCCCCACACGGGAGGTGACACTCTACCACTGAACCAGGGCTATAATATAAAGCTATTATGTTTCCAAGAGACCATTCATATTTTGAATTTAGAAAAAGTCTGTGCTTTGAAAGAAAAGTAATACTAAGACATTTATTGCAGCTAACTACTTAAGTGTTCAATTTCTACTATGAAATGCTTCCATAATGATAAAGAACAGAGCACAGTCTGATTGTAAATCATTTCATTCATGTCCATATTTCTCTCATTAGTAAAAACAGAATGCTCTTTCCTATAATTACCCTTTCTTATTATAATGGCTCTAAATGGAAAACGTTTTCCTCCTTTAGAACAGTCTACCGGTAACTAAACCGAAAGATAGCTTGAACAGCACTAGCCATTCTCAGGTCAAATGAATCTGGACAATCTTTCCTTTGAGAACACTGTGGAAGGGATACTTTACAGGAAATAAAAATAAAGGAAACATATTTTACTACTTTTTTTTTTATGATTCACACTTGAAAAGACATAATATAGCTTCACAATGAATGAAGATACTAGCTTATATCCTTTCTGCTAATGGTTTTGGTGTCAGAAAAGTTCAACCAGAACAAATGTTTTAAAAAGGAATTATCATCAATCCTTATTTATTGATATCTTTGAATTAATATACTTTTTTTTATCTTTGAAGGAGTTTAATAATAAGGCAAATGAAATGGAAATTAAAACTAAGAGCCAAGAGAAGGGTGCCAAATTGCTAACTGTCAAGGTTGACAAAACTCAAACGATGGAGCTTCAGATGATGAGACTGATTTTCCTGAGTGGCTGAGCCACATGGTCAGGTACAAAGCTTGTTCAGTGGAACAAAGAAACATTATCAGCAGCTTCTTTGGTGAGACCAACTATTTCTCAGCTCCAAATTTTAAAGAAAGTTCTCATATGGACATTTGATAGGGAGAACAAAGACATCATGACCATTACAAACCATATTTTTATAACATATTACCAGTGGCCATAAGGTTGACTCTGACTCATGGTGACCATGTATGTGTCAGAGTAGAACTGTGTGTGGGTTTTCAATGACCGATTTTTTAAAAAAAA